TAAAAGCCCACCAATTCACTATCAATAAATTAGAATACCTCATAAGACCTATAAAAACCATTTTTAGTGAATTGTTGGCCTTCTGGAAAGTATGTCCATTTACTGTATATGTACTCAATACTTGGTAGGGGCTTCTTTTGCTTTAATTACTGCCTCAATTCGGCGTGGCATGGAGGTGATCAGTCTGTGGCACTACTGAGGTGGTATGGAAGACCAGGTTTCTTTGACGATGGCCTTCAGCTCATCTGCATTATTTTGTTTCTCATTTTCCTCTTGACAATACCACAGATTCTCTGTGGGATTCAGGTCTGGTGAGGTTGCCGGCCAGTCAAGCACACCAACACCATGGTCATTTAACCAACTTTTGGTGCTTTTGGCAGTGTGGGCAGGCATCAAATCCTGCTGGAAAATGAAATTGGCATTTTTTAAAAGCTGGTCAGCAGAAGGAAGCATGAAGTGCTCTAAAATGTCTTGGTAAACGGGTGCAGTGACTTTGGTTTTCAAAAAACACAGTGGACCAACATCAGCAGATGACAATTTCACCCCAAACCATCACAGACTGTGGAAACTTAACACTGGACTTCAAACAACTTGTGCTATGAGCTTTTCCACCCTTCCTCCAGACTCTAGGACCTTGGTTTCCAAATGAAATACAAAACTTGCTCTTATCTGAAAAGAGGACTTTGGACCGCTGGGCAACAGTCCAGTTCTTCTTCTCCTTAGTCCAGCTAAGACACCTCTGACGTCATCTGTGGTTCAGGAGTGGCTTGACAAGAGGAATATGACAACTGTAGCCAAATTCCTTGACACGGCGGTGTGTGGTGGCCCTTGATGCCTTGACCCCAGCCTCAGTCCATTCTTTGTGAAGTTCACCCAAATTCTTGAATTGATTTTGCTTGACAAGCCTCTCAAGGCTGCGGTTCTCTCGGTTGGTTGTGCATCTTTTTCTTCCACACAGATCAGCAGTCTTCCCCATGATTGTGTAGCCTAGTGAACCAAACTGAGTGACCATTTTGAAGGCTCAGGACACCTTTGCAGGTGTTTTGAGTTGACTAGCTGAGTGGCATGTCACCATATTCTAATTTATTGAGATAGGGAATTGGTGGGTTTTTGTTAAATGTGAGCAAAATCATCACAATTAAAAGACCCAACGGCTTAAACTACTTCAGTCTGTGTGGACTGAATTTATATAAGACAGAAGTTTCACTATTTGAGTTGAATTACTGAAATAAATGGACTTTTCCATGATATTCTAATTTATTGAGCTGCACCTGTATGTACATCAAGACACTAATAGAATACCATGTATAAAGATCTCTTTGGAAAATAGTCTGACTGTAAACAGAGTAAATAAATTGTGATGTCAACCACACCTATCAAATGCAGCTGCTGAACTTCTTATTCCAATCTATGGCCATTAATATGCTGTTGGAACAGCCTCCAGTCTTCTTGGGAGGATCTCTACAGGATTTATTGACTGATTTATTGTCTAACTGGTTTAGCCACGGGTGCACTCTTGTGGTCAGTATCTGACTTTTCCTGGCTGTAAGTTCTGTTGTGCCAACAAACCACAAAAAAAGAAAACAAAAGTTTTCTGCTTGCCTTTGACATTAAAACTGTTTGCAAAACATACGTACCAGCGTGCACAGTTTGAAAAACAGCTTCCTCCAAATCCTGTCTAGTTGGCAGGCGGAGCTAATTAACGGAGAGTAGGTTTGACAACACCAGGTGGAGAAACTGGAATAGCTACAGAAGGACTGTAGCAGCAGAGTGTCATAGAGTGGGCTGGTATAACCAAGAGGCACCACATCCTGTACATTTTCACTGGATTTATCAGACGGTGTGCAAAAGCCCTGATCAGAATTCATCAGGGGACTGTTTCTGGGTAACAACAATCCCCTGATGAATTCTGATCAGGGGATTGTTTCTGTGTACATAGCAACTCCTCATTACCCCTCCTTCCCAGTTTCTTCAGTTATGTTTTGCATCCTCCAGCCATGGCCGTCCAGCAGCAGCCAACCCGGATTGTGACCGTGACCAGCACCAACCTAGGCCCTGGGACATGGAGCACTGGCCTCTGCGACTGCTGCTCAGATATGGGCACCTGTAAGTCAACCCAACAAACACCTCTTTGTGCCATTCATCACCTTATTCTTTTCCAACCTACTTGATCAGATGACAGCTCAGAAGAAATACACCGAAAAGAAGCTGTTCCTTTAGTGTGGGACATTAAAAAGACTGTGAAATTTAATTTGGTTATCCTACAGTTTTGTGTTGCACTTCCATAAAGTCGGCAGACTCAGAAGACGCGGATGTAAAAATCCTTATCCTTACTGGTGAAGGTTGTTGCAAGCCTGATGAACTAATAATTTTCTTGTAAAAGAGACTAGAATTGAATGTCAAGACTGTAAAGCACAGTGCTCTTTGTATGAACAGTGTAAAATACAGCATTATTTTAATCACAGTTTCTTCTGCCCTTAAGGTTGCTGTGCTCTTTGGTGTTTCCCCTGCATGCAGTGTCAGACGGCCAGTTACTATGGCTGGTGCTGCTGCATGCCGCTCCTGGACGTCTGCTGCGTGGTGTCCTGCATCCTCCGCTCCAACATCAGGGAGCGCTACAACATTCCTGTAAGGCCGGCTTGGGGAGGGAGAGGAGCATACATGGGGGGTTGGCATTGTTGGCTGTGGAACCTTTCAGATGAATTATGAATGATCCAGTCCCAAAGCTGATCGGTTTCTTTTCACAGGGATATTTGCTCAATGTTATGTGTCTGCTCTGGTTATAAATGGTACAATTAGGGCTGTAAGATGTGTCACGTGCCTAAATCAAGGGGTAGGCTGAAAAAGGCTGTTCACACTGATCCGAGCAGTTTGTCTTCATGATTTCAGGTTAGGAGATATGAAGCCATGAGAGTTGACTGAACAGTGTGCAGGTTTAGCTTTATGCATGTAGTTTTTGGCCATCCACAATATTTTAACAGGGAAATTTGTTTACAGGTTAAGATTGGGGGTGTGCAGTATTGACAAAAACGATAGCTGGATATTTTCTGGGATTTTTTTCTAACGATAAGCAGATGATACTCTGCATCCTTCAAAAATGTATTTAGATCTTGTCTTATATTGTACAAGTTGCTCTTGTTAATAGAATATTAATTGTTACTGCTTACCAAAGACAGTAATGGAACCAACAAATTTAAGAAAGAATTGTCCTATTTGTTTACTTAAAGCTGAAGCGTTAAAGTAAAACAGTACAAAACATTGAAATCACACAATGATTCTGTTAATGCTTGCTGCATGTTTGTGCGCTGGTACCTTGGCCTGGCGTAGTAGTCTGTCCTACCTCATGGGGCAGCGTAGGTGTAGACTGTCAAGACGAGTTTTTGTAAAGTGGGCGACATACTTGATAATGTCAGTTCACACATCATTTAAACAGCAGTTAAGATTTTATCACAGATGATACATATCGCACACCCTAGTTGAGATATTTTATTTTCATAACAAAATACTGCTGCCTGCTTACAGAAGTTCTGAGAAGCACTTTATGAAACATTGCTATTTATCTGATGTATCTGATTAAATCATAAAGATTTTTCTTTCTAAAATAGTATCAGCTCAGGAGATTATCCAGCCCTGGTGTCAATTCACCCAAGTTCTGGAAGAATCTATACCTCTAGCCACCTCTAATACCACTAGACCTGCATGGGAAAATATGCGCTTCAGTTAGTGAAGCTTGATTTTGAAATCTGTCTTATACATATACAGTGCCTTGCGAAAGTATTCGGCCCCCTTGAACTTTGCAACCTTTTGCCACATTTCAGGCTTCAAACATAAAGATATAAAACTGTAATTTTTTGTGAAGAATCAACAACAAGTGGGACACAATCATGAAGTAGAACGAAATTTATTGGATATTTCAAACTTTTTTAACAAATAAAAAACTGA